GATGTTCTCCATCTGCTTGAAGGGCATAGCCATCGTCGAAGCCTTCTTGCAGACGCCGGGCTTGATCGCAGTGGCGAGAGCGCAGAGCACGATGCCCGACTTGAGAGCCTCCTGCAGCGTACCATCGAGGGACATGCCAGTCAGCGCCTCGATCCACTCACGTGCCTCCTGCTCCTTCTTCGGATCGCGCTTGGCAGCCGCCTTGGCGGCGAGCTCTTTGTCCATGCCGTACAGCGGAATGCCGTCCTCCGTCTTCTCGGCGGCATCGTAGCCGGTGTGGACCGCCGAGCTGACGGGCCTCGTGTCCTGCGCTGCGGCGGTCTTGGTGGTCCAAGAGGTGTCCGTCATTGTTGTGTGCGCGTCGGCGGCTAGATCCCTCTTTTGGTTGTCGTGCGACCACGGCGGCGAAATTCTTTTTGCCTCGCCTCCCTCGCTTGGACTCTCGAGGTGTACCTGTGTTAGTGTCAACTACCAGCCTGGGCCGCGAGTCGGTCTCGTCCCGGCTCGGCAAGCGGAAGCTCACCAATCTCAGCCTCGCGCGCTAAAAGAACGGACCCCCCAAGGGAGGGATGGCAGGACGGCACAGGTTTGCGCGCTTGCAGGCTTTTACACACGCGGTTTCTTATTGCACTCGCTCTCGTCGCTGCTGCTACCCTGGCGAGTAGAGACCACGCCTCACTTTTTCACAGGGGGGGATCCGCTGGAAAAAGGAGGCGTGTGACAAGTGGAGCGTTGGATCGCCGTCTTTCGGCGAGGATGGGTGTTGGAGCCCTCTTTGCTCAACATGCGGCCTGCTCTGCCGCCTCAACGAGACCGCCGCGCGCGCGCGCGCTCGGCATGCCTGCTGCTCGTCTGCCGACCTGGCCAGGCCGCGCGTGGCTGGCGCCAGCTCGTCATCGCAGCGGAGCACCGGAGGCGCGGTTTGCCCGCTGCTGGCTCTCGCCCCGCCGGCGGTTCCACGTGATGCTAGCAGTTGCTGGAGCCGAAACCAGCCGGAAATGTGCCTCCTCACAGCTCCTCATGGATCTGCGAAGAGAACCGTCGAGTCCAATCAAGTCCACAGCCGGTCCGGCTCGCCCCTCGGGGGCCTCGTTCAAGCGTGCTGTGTGAGTGTTGAGGTGATACGAGCGCGCGTGGGCGCGGCGCGAGTGCCGTTTTGGGTCTCTTTTATACCAGTGATGAAATATAAACCGACTTTACCACGCGCGCGCACGCGCGCCGCGCTCCTCGACTCTCTCGCACCCGCCCCGAAACACGCCCCTCACGAGATAGGCGGCTGCGACCCTGAGAGTGCGCAGC